AGACAGCCACAAGAGAAAGATTTTTAGATCACAGCTTAATTGCAGATGCTGCATAATTCTCACAGCATCCTAGCCCACCTCCATCAGGTGAACATCAGAGTTTTTTAGAAGAGCTTGTAGCAGTCCATGCACCTCTCATTAGAGCATCACAAAATTGCAATAAAAGTAAAAACAAATGAACAAATAACCTGTCATTTGATAGATACATTGAAGTAATTCTCCTGTATTAACCCAACCTCACACCACAGAGCATCCATTTTTCTTCAACATCTTCTAAACAAGTCTTTACATTTATCCAAGCTCATGCATATAGTATTTAGTAATTTCCAATAACATTAGTTTTAAATGTGACCATTAACTTCTGGAGAGTTCTTTAAAATGCAGATTAGAAAATCCCTACTTTCTGTCATTTTGTGGTTGCTATGTTTAAAGAATCTTCCCTCTGGGAAGTTGTTGTGGTCAGAAAGCTTCATCACAAATGCACTGTACTACATTTGCTGTAAAAACAAGTGAGTGCCTTCTCCATTTCCTTTTCAAAAACCATGGTTTATGATGGTTTAATTAATGCCTCTTAGCTTGAGAATTCAAGAATTTAAAAAGCAATTTGCAAATGCTTTATTGCCACAACTTAAAGCCATGGTCATTGGCACAGAGCGCTATGTGCTCATTGCATATTCCTATGTGGGTTCATGTCTGACTGTGCCATGTACCAGCTTCTTTTTCTTCCCTACAATGGTCCCATAAGATGCAGATATTTAGAATTTTAAAATTGTGTAAAAAGACCAAAGACTGCACTACTCTAATTATAAGATCCTGGAGGTCTAAGTAAAACAAAGGCAATTTGAGCTGTACCATGAATAAAAGACAGCTGTTCAAAACTAATGCTGAGACAGCTTTGATATTTTTGAAAGATGATCTATAGAATAATTTAGAGTGGTAAAAAACCCATGAGAATTGCATAGGCAAAGCTCAAAAAATATGAAGGAGATAATTCAGTGTTTAAAAGTGAGAAACAAAAACCCCTCAACATTTAATGCAACTCTACAGTCTGGTAGAAAAATTTCTGAAGGGCTAGATGAAGCCTATCGCTTTTGTAGTCTCCCAAGAATCAGAAGTATTTGGCAGATGCTTGAAACAGGAGAGAAATAAATTTTATTTAGGCCTCAAACATTATTTATAAAAAGTCATCTCATGGTAGTCATCCATGAAAACCTTGTACTATCACATCTATAAACAAATATTTTAAGACATTTTAATATTTTAAGCTTTAGAGTTTTAGAGTTGTCTGAACCATCTATATTTCTGTCTGTGAGATATATATATATATATGTATGTATGTATGTACGGGCGTGTGTCTAGGTATATATGTATTTATAAAAAATTGTTTGCCTTTAAAATTTGTTTCCCATAAATCAAAACAGCTTCATCGTTGCACTACATTGTTCGGTTTAAGCACTTATCTCTAGGGCACTGAAAAAGTATTTTTGTGGGTTTGGGAAAGCTGAAAATATTTTCACTTTAAAAATCCCATAGTGCAGAAAAGCAATATTCCAGCAATCAAAAGCATGGCATGTTCTCCCAGCATCATTCACTGTAGCTAAGCCCTCAAAGAAGCAGTTCTAGTGCATGAATGCCAGTGGTAGTGTGTTCTAGAAAGAGGAAAAATAACCTGTGAAAAAGTAAATAGGTGCTGTTTAAAACAAGCTGTGCACAGGTACCACTCACAGACAGGCAGCCAGCATTACACCTTACTCCAGATGCAGTTTAGGTTTCGTCCTGGTGAACAAGAGCTTTTCCATTAGATATTCCCAGCCTAAAAAACAAAAACTAAATCAGGGCCTTATATAAAAAGTTGTCTGTCCTTGGCTAAGTTAAATCTCTTTCAGGGACCCCATCCTAAGAGCACCCTGCCCCGTTTACTCCCACTGTGGAGGGATGTGCTGCCTGGGATGTGGGATGAGGCTTCCTGCAGGATGTTTGCCACCTTTGCCAGTCACTGGAAAGGGTGGGATTTTTGACAGCAGTTTTGCAGACCATATCAGGGTTGGCTAGTCAAATGCTTAGCATTTGAATGAATCCCAGCTTCTGGCCCAGTCTCAGCAATATCATTTGATATACAGCAGAGCAGGACAACAGCACCTGAAGCTTCTTACTGTAAACCATATACCAAGAAACACACTACAGGCATTTAGTAGCCATATAAGGAGCAACCCTGGCACTGATCTGCCATTCTCCTTTGTCTCCCTCACCTCACACTGATGCAGCACAGCTTCTGCCTGTGCAGACTTCCACTGACTTTTGGGTTGCACAACTTTGTGTCTGAAAGCAGGAATAGATGAACTCAGTAACTCAATGACCAATTCTACAGTTGACAACAACAAAAACAACAGCAAGCCCCACATCTGTGCTTTTTCTCATCTCTGGTACATTTTTGCCCCACATCCCCAAAATCAGAGGGTTCATGGCAAGGGCTATTTTCTAACTGCTCCACTCCCCAGTTCTCACCAGGGCATACTTCCTACATCCCCACATCTCCCCATCATAGCAGAATGGCTCCAGATTGAGACCAGCTTAGCTGAAGATGTCTTTATGCACCTCCTCCCATTCCAACCTGTCCAAACAGGTCCTGAGAAGCTCATTCCTCTGCTCAGCTTTTATGTGAGAGCAGAGGTAGCTTTGCAAAGCAGCCTGCACAGCATCTGCAGGAAAGCATGGTAGGTAGCTTTGCAAAGCAGCCTCAACTAGGATGAATCCTAGCTAGCCTGCACAGCATCTGCAGGAAAGCATGGGTGATAGACATGACTGGTGCTTCCAAAGAAATATTTTCATTCCTGAAGGTCCAGAGAGGGACAGAGGGACTGTCCTGGCAAGGGGCAGCAGAAGTCCCTGTCAGGTTTACAGGGTCTCTTACAAGCAAATAAGTGTGCAATGAGCAGGAGTCAAAGTACAAATCACAACTGAGCCCATGAATATTTCTAGCTTCAGGTATCAGATATCCAGCCTCAGGCCAGGCAGTAAAAGACCCTCTGAGCTCTATCATCTCAGATCAATCACCTCTGGAAATGACCAAACCAGTAATGCCAGCACATCTCTAAGGGCCAGCCCAGGAAAGGTTAATGTTGCTCAGAGAGGAAAAGAGCAGTATTCCTATCTTCATCCATTCAGGGCATTTGTATTGGCAAAGACATTGTGTAATTCCCAGGGAAAAGGAGATTGTCATTCTCAGGAACACTTCACAATAAGAAGAGCCTCTGTTCTATTCTCAGGGTGAATGTTATTGAGGAGGACACAAATGAATGAAACCTGGCCATGAACTAAAAAATATAAAATAATGTTTTTGCCTATTTCAGAGGAAAGACATATTTGCAGCTTTACTTGCATTTTTAAACAAGCAGACAAAGGATTTTTATCTCCTATATAGAGACAGACATGGAAGAATTTGTTTATTTTAACTGCAAAATTTTATAGATGGTCTGAAGTTGGGGGAAGCATTTTAACCAGCTGAAGCTTGAGCTACTTTAGGGCTGGGAAAATACTTTATCTTCCATGTTTCATTTGGATGGCTTTATAAAAGGACAGAAAGGTCCAGTTTTGCTTGTAAGCGTCACAGCAGCAGGAAACAATTTTACTTCCCCGAGCTGTCATGCCCATTGACCAGTCTCCATACTCATGTATTTATAAACCTTGTTGTCCATTTTCTCTCCAGAGTCAGATATCGCCAAGCTGTGGTAAAGTTCCTCTATGTTTTTGTGTGCCCCGAAAGATGCTCTTTCTGCTTCCAGAAAGACCTTCCAGACCTTACCTGGCCATATGCATGTTCTGTTCTGGCTCCAGCAGAGTCACAAGGTGCATGTGAGCAAACCTGCTTCTTATCTGCTGAGGTGTCTGCTTCTGAGATCTGATATCCTTCAGATGCTTGTGCTGTCTTAATGAACCATTGCCAGCAATATCACTGAGAGGTTCTGTTATTTCTTCCTTCCATCATGCTTGCATACTTTTCTTTCAAGTCTCCTTGTCTTCTCAAACTTGACAGCCTTACACACAATTTCAGTGCGTAACATCATTAATAAAGTAAATTATCCAGTGAAAGCAAACCTCACCTATATTATTCAATTGCAGCGGAGAGCAAAGCAGCACATCTTTCCTTAACTGTGGTCAATACCTGATAATGCTGGATATTTTTAAGAAGTCAAGAGATGGGCACCGTATCTTCCTTTGAATTTAACAGCAAATACTAAAAACGAAAAGCTGCTCATCTGTACATAGGTGAAGGGATTTTTTTTTTTATTTTTGCATTCATATTTTCTTTGGATCCTCTTGTTTTCTGAATCCTACAGTCCAAAAAAACACTGTAGGGTCTTCTGCCTCTGCTGAAAAATGAGATAAATATGATTGGACCATGTATTTAGGATAATTCAGATGTTGCTACCAGTTTATTAAATCTGCTGGAATTAAAAGTGGCTGCCAGACATCAGTCTTCTCTTTTGTTTTGTGTGTTAGTTGTGGCAGAGATTTCATAAGCCACATGAACTTGAGACCATACAGCTTTACCAGGTGAAAAGAAACCTGAGGGGGAAAAGCTCCTTACAGCCTTTAGTTGCAGATTCCTGTGTGCATCTGTGCTTCCTTCTAAAAGGTCAAAATCATGGCACTGAAGAAAAGAATAGGCATCTCTTGACTAAGCCTTTACCCTCTCACCTCCAGTTCCCATCTCTTTCAAAGTAGCTAATTCTGAGCTTACATAGGGATATTTGAAATAGCATTAAAGTGCTGGGAAGGGCCTCCTTTGAAGGAATGCAGGGATAGCTGTGCATGATTTGATGAAAATTAAAGAACACATGCAATTCTTGGAGCTACCATAAAATTTTGGGCCAGAGGACGTGGCTCTGAATCCATACAAGGGAATACAAAGGCAACAAAAATATTTAGGATGCCAGTATACCAATCAAGACATATTTTAGGTCTTTTATTCTTTTCATTATCTCTTCTTTTGGCAGTACCTCTGGTCCCTGCTGCTCCAATAGCAGCATGTGTGGGGTGAGGATGTTTAAGCTCTCTCCACAGATGATGTTTATGTCTTTCAGACCATCCACTTCATCTGCCCAGCCCACACAACTGACACAAGAGATTGCGACATATGCTAAAACCTTACCCCATAACCCACACCCACTTATGCAGGAAAAAAATGACACTTGCAGGTTTTTTAAGTGCTGCTCCTCCTCTGTCCACACCATGGGGTAAAATTTATGATGCAATCTATATTTGATTGTAATTTATTCATTAAGCCTCTCCACAACCACTTTTATAAAAATGCAGGGTTGATCAGACACCAGGTGGATTTGCTTGGACACAGAAGGCAAATGCAGAGGCAGCACAGTGCTATTTTCTACTGTAGAGTTTCCTCAGGAGATAAAAGTAGGAAGCACTGGAACATGCTATTGGAAGTTTTGTGGAGTTGATAATACAGAAAGTAATGCATGCACTTTTTCTCCTCTTATTACCACGTCTTTAAGGTTTTGTGGGAATGAATTGCTTCCTATCATGTATTATTATATAATCAGTAATATTTTCCCCAGTTTACTTATAGAATCATAGAATACCCTGAGTTGGAAGGGACCCACAAGGATCACTGTAGTCCAGCTCCTGGCCCTGCTAAGGACAGACCCACGAGTTACACCATGTACCTGAGAGCATTGTCCAAATGCTTCTTGAACTCTGTCATCCCACGAGTTACACCATGTACCTAAGAGCATTGTCCAAATGCTTCTTGAACTCTGTCAGATGTGACCACTTCCCTGTGGAACTTCTTCCAGTGCCTAAACACCCTTTTTTTGTCTGGTCTTGTTTTGAAAATTCAGCTAAGTTCTTTTTCTTGCTCAGAACAATAAAATGCACACCATACTTTAGTAACAGTTACCTGTGCCATGGTATACAAAGGAAATGGTCCCGAGGAACTGAACAAATTGTTTTCACCCTACTTTTCCCACCTTTTACATCCCACACATTTCCAAAATACATAGTTTTAGAACTTTTTTTAATCATTGTTTACTGTCCTGAGGTTGGATGGTGCCATTCCCAAAACTGTAAACTGACCTGACATATGACCAACATTCCTAATGCTGCTGCTGCTGCACTGGGAAAAAAAAGATTCCCCACAAACCACCTACACACACAAAAATTCCTGATGGAGAAGGGGCAAAGCACTGAGTTGGGAATGGATAAAGGTCAGACACACAGCACATAAGTACTCACAAAACCATTTGTGGTTTTGTGGTGTAAAAGTAACATGACTTTTTTATCAAATTATGGTACTCTGATGCAGTCATAGCTTTAGAGATTATTCCACTTCTTGACTCAGAGCTCACAAATGGCCGGAAAAACAACTTCTAAAGGAATAAGCAAGCTCAATGATAACTTCCTTAGTAGTGGATGAAAACTACTTGAGCAATCTGAGACACACAGTGTCTCAACCACAAGACTGTCACCAAATGTTATTTCTTGTCACCCTGTGACTCACTTAAGAGGCAGCTGTTAAAACCATGAAGATTTCATTGCTCTTTTTTCCTATGAATCTTGGATCCAACTGCTGAGAACTTGGATGACATAGAAGCTAATGATGAGTGGTTTATAGAATCAGACTACTTCAGAAGTATAAACTAATGCTAACTTCCTCTGTTCAAAGTCTTTACAATAAAAGTTTTAATTTGAGTCTCACTAAAACTAGAGTTGCTCCATAAGTAGAAGAGACTGAGCACACCAGCCACTTGCTGTATGTGGGACAGGCAATATTAGTGTCCAGTTTCCAAAATATGCTGCATTTCATACCTTGTTCTTCTGCAGTGCAAAGAGGAACAGGATGGGGATTTTGTAGTTTGGTTGGTTTTTTTTCCTGACAATGTTTTGACAGAGGAGAAAGCCCCTGCAGAAATGTGAGGATGTACACAATCTCAGGAAATAATATTCAGGCAATTGAATTCTTGAGGGTGGACAGACTGCTGAGCCAAGTCATCCTGAGGGACATTACTCTCACCAAAAAGTGGTATACGAAGAAGTTACTTGCATCACTCTGAAATTGACTTCTTGAGGATGGACAGACTGCTAGATGCTGAGCCAAGTCATCCTGAGGGACATTGCTCTCACCAAAAAGTGGTATACGAAGAAGTTACTTGCATCACTCTGAGAGAACTTGTTCTTGGAGGTAACAAAATCAGATAAAACTCTTTGCAAAAAAGAACGGCTGCAAATGCTGTCTATGATGAGAACAGGGCAGGAAACTCACTGGACTGGAGGCTTTACTTGCTCTTTTTCAAGTCTGGTAAATTGCACAGAAATGTGCATGAGAAGAGCAGGTAAACACCAAATGAAAGAAATGTTCTTTATGTCTGGTCCAGACAAGAGCTGAGGCCAAAGTCAACACAAAGAGGTAGCTTTAGTCATAAAACTCCTCAGTCATCTTGATGGCCTGGGTTTTTTTCCTCCTTCCTTAGGAATGTCGTAATTACATGCAACAAAGAAAGATTTAATACAGTTTGCTTAAATATTAACTACCTGTGATTTGAGGAGAAACCACAGACTTTGCATAAATATTCTGCTATTATATGCCAATGAATGACACATGTCCCCTCTTCTGAAAGGGCATCATGCTTAGCACTTCTCAGCAGTATGCAGAAAGTCATGGTTACTAGGTTGATGGGAAGAATTGCTTTCCACAGATATCAAGGAGGGAATCAGAAAATTATGGTTGCACGATAGGCTAAAATATAATATAATGGACAAAATCTGTGAAAAAGAAAACACAATATCTGGAACAAGAGCACTAAAGTGTCTGTGGGAAAAAAAGATTGCAGAGTATATGCAGTGTGCATTGGAAATAATGAAACCTCCATAAAAAGAGATATCTCACCTAAATGTCCTTGGGAAAGAAAAACTAATGAATTTAAAATCTTTACTGAAAATCAGGAGGAGACATTTGAAACAATATTTGTGCTACACAATTATCTCTGTGATTTTCAAACTGCTGTAAGAGTTTATTCATTCCTGTTCTTACGAAACATGAAAGTGCATAATTGGAGGGGTTTTTTTTAATATGACCTGCTTTGGAATTGCTTGAGTGCTCATTTAGAGTACCAGTTCAGAGTCCTTTACCCTCCATTCAAATCCAGCTCTGGTGTGGCAGAGGCTGTAATGAACACAGAGAATTTGCTCAGCCAAGGACTGGACCAGCTGCTGCCCAACCACACCTCTTCATTTTGCTCTCTGACTCTGGATATAGAGGTGTGACCCGAGCATGGGCAGCATCTTCACTACCAACACACTGATAAGCCTCTTAGAAATTAAAACAACCCTTCCAGAGTTACCATCATTTACACAAGAATGAGTGGGTGAAGGAGTCCACAGGGAGCCACGGGAACAGGTATCACAATACAATTCTGTTCCTCATTCCTTGGGCTGCATCTTTTGTGGAGCTTAATGCTGCCTGAACCTGGAATAAAGCAGCTTAAAGACTACCATATTATGGTGGCTAATCATAACTATAGAAATGCTATTAATGAGTGTTATTTAACTGCTGCATTCATTATATAACCACATTATTGTATGCTTGGATTTTCACTTATGTCCTTGTTGTTTCAATACCATGACTCAGTGTAGAATAATTCTTAGTATATTTTCCAACTTCTTTGTGGTCTCTCCTATTGATGCATGCAGTACAAGACAGGAAAAAGACAGCATAAAACAGTTCAGATCCTGTCACTGTATGTAGACCTGAAAGTCAAATATTTGGACATTGTTGTATCCAGCATTGCTCACTGATGGGAACCATTGTGCTAAGTGTTTGGCCCTGGTCTTGTACATTGGAGCTGTGCTAGCAGCTTTGTGAGCTATCAGGACTGAAATGACCTAATTATTCCTCTTCCGGCCTTTTTACTGGTGCTGTAGTGTTTCCAGATGTAAGAGCAACATGAATGCAGGATATGGTGCACTTCTTGCAAAGGATTTGACTCAGGCTCCCTTATCCAAACAATACCCTGAGCAAGTACTACTTCTCCTGAGTAATTAGCCCCTCTCCTAGACCATGGTGCTCATCAGCTGGTGTGGCTCCATGCTCTGTTCTCACCAGCTTTATGGTAAGTGCTTGCAGTGTTCAAAAGGCTGGGCTGGGAGCATGAGGGGCAGAGCACACACAACTTGACATGGGCATGAGCTTTACCATCTATAGAAGATCTTTGGATGCTCCAGAGGCTGAGAATAGCAGATGTAAAACATTCCTGGATCTCTGATTTTTAGTTAAATACTTAATCATGTCATTTAACGTTTTCTATTCCAAGATTTTCCCAGTGGTGAACTTTTCCAATTGGGTCAGCACACCTTGTAATCCCATATCTTCAGATATCCCACAAGCATGTGTATTTTGAGATGATGATGTATGTGTGCATGAGATGTACATTCCTGGGAGTCATTGTTGACTGGGGAAACAGACCTCAGCTCCCCAGAATTTTGAGAAGAGTTGCCTGTTCTTTTGGGTGTGATTTGAAGTAACTTAAAAAACAAGGCAACTAAGGACAGAATAATCACTCCTACCTCCTCTCAGATTTCATCAGCCCTCTCATAGTGCTAGACAGGTACTTCACCTTCAGTAAATTTAACTCTTTTATCGCACCCTCCCAATCCATCAGGTTTTGAAGTCACTCGGACACTGCAATTTTGGGGGCTGAAAAATTATTTACTGCAACAATATTATCTGTGGGGCTTAAATCCTATTTGGTTTTAGATTATGACTTGGAGCACATTTAATAAATGTTGCTTCTCCCAGCTACGATGACTAGACTAAATAAATAACTAATATATATTATTTGTATACTGAGAGAGAGGAGCTACAGATGGAGTCCAGGAGCAAGAGCAGCTGCTGTGGCTGCTGCAGCGGAGGAGCCATCCCATGGTCTGCAGCCTTCAGCCTGGGGGACAGCAACCATAAATAACCTAAGAGATCTTCCTGATTATGGAAAAGCCTCACAGTAATATTTTCTGTGCTTCCATCAAGCCAAGACAGCATGAAATAGCCTTTTTAAAATATTTGATTTCTTTTGAGGGAAAAAAAAAAAGGTAAAAAAATGTTCAAATGCTCAAAACTGAAATTTCAGAAGAATATTTCAGAATCACAGAAGTTTAAATCTATCAGGAGCTCAAGGTGTCACCTACAGCTTGTTTGATCCAGATAGAAATATCTGAACTTAGATGTTCCCTGGCACAGGCATCTTTTAAAAAACTCCAAAATCAGAATCTCCAGAATGGGCTATGTAGCTTATTTCTAGACTTAGAAAGCTCTTTTCAATCCTTCAGATGAGAGCTGATCACTTTTATATCCTGCCTGTACTGGACATGGAGAGCACTTCATGACATTTTTTATGTTTGAAATCTATTATCAGACAAGCTGATGACTTTCATCTGGAATAAGTATTTTCCTTCAAATTTCTTCCACCTTCCACACAGTTATTATCATATTTCTCAATGACTGCAACTTGTGATATCAATTGTAAATTGTGGTGCCTTTGTCAAAAGATTTGGAAGGTCTTTGTCACCAAGGATACACTGTTACATTGTCTTAATTTCGGGTAGATTTGAGACACTGAAATTTTGGGATGTTCTGTACATAGACCAGGAAAGCTCTTTTCCCTTTAACTGAATTCAGTTTCATTATAACATTAGAGTCACTTGAATTACTTC